TTGATCGACTGGTGGGTGGTTGTACACGCAAATTAAAGCCACCTTGTCAGACAGACATACAGCCATACATGACTATTCACAAGTTAAAAATAAAAACATAAAAGGTCAACATTCACACGCCCATTGATTAAAGGGAATAAATTAAACTTCAGATAAGTTGCATACATGGTTTCCTTCACCCTCAGTCTTTTATATATTCCTATACATGGAACAATACTTTCCCAAACACTTCTGAAATGGCAAAACCAAAGAAAGGTTTTCGCACTCTTAGCTGTGTAGACAGCAAGTTCATCCTTGCCAATTATGAATCGAGACAGCTTCTCTGTCTCTCTAGCATCAGTGCACAGGGTATGGCTCCAAGTAGTGTGTTGGAGGAAGAAGAAAAAAGAATACGGTGGCTTAACAAAAAAAAACAAACCCAAACCTTCTTCCATTCATTATTGGCAGAATAAACCAAAAGTGTATCTTGTCCAGGGTACCTTGCTAGGTCCTCTCCAGAGGAGGTATGTGCTGTCATACATAAATGCCCTCCGGGTTAAAACCAGATGACAGGGGGTTCTGTAGAATCCGAAGGTTACTCGGGAGTTGCCTTGATGAGCCAGGGCGCTTCAGAGACCCAGACTGAAATGTTGGTTCTGCACAAGATAAAAGGGCAGTTAGAAGAGTCAGCATCAGGGATGATGTCTGTAGAACACCTCTCTCCTTCCTGGTTACTAAGCAGGTATACTCCTAAGCACAGTACAGAAAAACTAATACGTCATACAACACAAAATACAAGTGCCTGAGCAGGAAGTGATGAGATATGACGTGCACACCTACTCATTTCAAAACAGATACACCTACCTACTATAACTACCCTCCCACAAGGAGCATGCCCAGGGATACATGCACTACATTTATTCACTTATGTGCAGGAAAGGGCTTATACCTATATGTAACTCAAAGCTTCAGCTTCCTGCCCACTTAAAAGAGGAACTTCATAGAAGTGCTGACATTTAAGGCCTGGTTGTCTTCTCACCTCTACCCTCCCAGCACCTCTTGGTTAGAAAGTTTTCTGAGCAGAGGGACAGAACCAGCTAAGGAGAATGCTGAGAGAAACAGAACCCTGGCAAGCAGGGTCCTGGGTAAAGCACACCTCAGGAGGGGCTGGGCCACAGTGAAGCAGTTTCTGCTTGTGCCACAGCTGTGACATACATTCAAAGTGCTCCCATGTTTCTGCCTAGGAAATTCTGAATTTAGATATGGGCATGAGCAGAGTGCACTGATCTCACTAGGGGCAAAGTCAATTTGCACATGCCATAACAGCCATCTGTGCAGGACTTCTGGATGGCTGGCAGCCCAGCTGGATTAATTCCTATTCCCATGAGGCTGCTGTCTGGGATTTCTTGAGATCCAGACACACTCCTTTTTCTACTTTGACAAAACATCTCCTCAGAAGAGGAAGAACCCAGATGAACAATAACGTCAGACATGCAATCATGTTGCATCCCAGCTTACATGCCTGCAGCATGTAAGCCACACTTCAAAGCTACCAGCCTGATGAGTTACTGATGGGACAAACACATGCCCAAGCACATGGAAGAGAAGTTAGCTACATACTGCTCTTCATTTATAGTTTGCTAAACCACTGGAATGCAAATATTTGACACTGTGCTTTCTTAGTATTTTGCTCACTTCTTTGCTAAGAGAGCATTCACTTGCTTTACAACTGCTAGCATTAATGCAGCAGGTAAACACATTGCCATCCCCTTCTCCTGCCCACCAAAAGCATTCTGAGCACTGCACCTCTTTCCAGCTCCACATGTGGGGCCTCCACCTCAACAGGGTCTGCTGGCAGCACCGTGACCTTTGTTCCTGTCTGCTGGATGAACTGTTGGAGATTGACCTGTCGCAGCTCCTTTGTCAGTTGCTCCAGTTCTTGTTCCCTGTCCTGGCAGGAAAGAGAAAACACCTGCTGAGCAGCAGCAGGCATGAAGTGGCATTTCAAGACTCAGCTGGGCAACTAATGCTCCTCCTTTTGATGAGAAAACCTCTGATTTTTAAGTTCAGAGGTAAATGTAAGAGCTGAAAGCTATTTTACTCTCATAATTAAGAAAACAAATCAATGCTATTAGTTACTATTACTAGTCTGTTCATATTGCTTCTTAGATGACTAGCAGATGTTTCTCGTATCACCTGAGAAAAATTTTGGCACAACAGGTGTGAGCAAATAAAGGTAATAGTGAGCAATTTAAAAAATACATCGTCTGGGCAGTCTGGCACCAAATCTTAGCTCTGTCAGAAGTGTCCAGCATGACTTGACACCTCATTTAGTTCTTCTGTTCCTAAAATGAGAATAATTCCCTTCTCTTGGTGTTTTTTGCTTTTTCTTTTTAGACTGTAAATTTTTATGGACAGAACTCTCTCAATCTGCAACTGCACTGTGTTTTGTACAATGAGACCAAATCCTGGCTGGTTCACCCTGCCTTGACAAGCACAAAAGATGATAATTTAGGGTCTTCCTCAAGGCTCTGTAATTCTAACATGATATATAAAAGCTACAGCTCTGATAGATTATGACAGTCTTAGACTACAATTATTCCATCCCCACTCTTCCCCCTCTCTGTTGTGCTTTTCCACAGCCAGGATGGGCTTCACCCACTTGGCCACACAGATGCCAGGCAACATACTTGTGGCCATTTCCAGGTAGTGCATACAGCTACATCTTCATTTTGGCAAGAGATGGAAGTCAGGTCAACCATCCTTCCCCTATTTTTTGTAAGCAGAATTATACATCAACTCACACAAAGATTGGGGAAGAAGAGTATTGTGGATCTGTTCTAGAAACAGTCCCCAACAGCACAGCCCTGATTAATTTTAAACATGCAGTGAGGTCACAGTTGAGGCTGAATTCAAGAGTTAGTAAGAAAATTAACAGAAATGATCTGATGTCTAAATTAGGACCTTTTATAATATCAATCGCTTTGTCAGGGATTAGTGTTTGACCTGATGTATATCATGTGGCTGGTCTTGGCTTCCTATGCTTGACTTGTGTTTCCATTCATTGGCTATGAGCTTTCAGAGAAAATAGCCTGAGAAATGGAAACCAGGCCACCTCCAAATTCTAAGACAATTCTACAATAAAATTGAATTTCTTTTAGGCCTGCTGGACCCTACAAGGGAGACACTTGGCACGCAGAAGCTCTCAACTGTCTTTACTTAATACAATGTTAATTCTACAGCTCTACATTTTAGGAGATTGTAACAAAGTTGCTACTGAATGCAATTAAGTCTTTTTTTAAAAAAACCAAAAGACTGAAACCCACAGGTTAACAGAACTATCATCAATAACTTGCTCCTGACACTTCTCAACATTCACATGAATTAAGGTAAAAAGTGAAATATCAACCCAAATCTTATTGGTTTAAGCTCTTAGTACCTAATTGTGAAACTTTGATGAGAACTTCTACCTGATGAAGGGTAGAATTTTGGGGTTTTCTTTTTGTTTGGGGGAGGGGGGGTTTGCAGTTAAAAACTTCCTTGTGAAACAGGGAGAGCAGAGGGCTGCATTGGATCCTTAAATGAACGTAGTCACTTACTGCTGGAAAGGAGTATTCTGGAGATAGCTAGAGAAAAGGAATGGAAGATGTTACTAAAAAGCACCACCTACCTGTTCTAACCACTTGAAATCTAGTGAACCAACGTTTTCTTTCCTTGCTTACCAAAAAGTCTACAAAAACACTTAACTTTTGTATTTTCAAACTAGCAGTTCTATAAATACTAATTTTTTACCTCCAGTGTGGGGGGGAAAAAAACAATTAAAAAAATCCATTTTGTCCCTCCAAAACTGTATAATACAGCTGAGTTTATTTTCTCCTGGACTTCCAGCGTAGTGCAACTTCAGGCTTGGAACAAGCTTGGAAGATCTGAATTTAACAGGAACTTGCCTGAAGTAGTGAAATCCTAGCCCATGAAAAAAACAAAGCTCAATTATAGCCTCTCTGAGTGGTGCTGAGGATGAGTAATATACATACAGAGGATTCCAGTTAGGGCAAATCCTTAAGTGCAGTGTGTCTGGAAACTCAGCATAGATAAATATGACCAAAATTGCTTACAGTTTTCATCCATTTTGCTTTGCATGAAAAGATTACATTTTTACCCCTCCTCATTTAGTAAAAACAGCTTATATTGACATGGTTCTAGGAGCTCAGGGGTAAGGATGCAAAATCCCTTTACATATTCACAGCAAATTTACCTTACTGTAACTGCAGTATTGTGAAACACAGACTGAATCCCCGGAATACAGCAAGGATCACAATCCAAACTGATGTGTGATGCCTCAGTCCTATCTCACATGGCACATTAACATCCCAGAAGCCACAATCTTTGCTTCACCTCATTCAGCTAGAAGCTGGTTTTCCATTTATGTTTATTCTTTTGTGCTCTATCGAGTTCCAAGTGATATAATTAATTTCAGCAAGGAACCAGAGACTGGATTTTCTTTTAACATGTGCCACAAATACCTGAGGTGTACAGAAAATAAAACCCTGAACACCAGTCAGATAGGAAAAGGAAGGGAGATGCTTTTCTTTAAAATAAAAGCCCTGTAAGCTAACAGTTTTTTAAGCTCTTCATCCATCTATCCAGGTGCTGCTTTTGGACTGTTCTTGTTAATGAATCTATTTTGCTGCCAAACAAACCTGGCAAGAATCAGAAGTTTAGCTTCATAAAAAGCTATGATGGTGAAAATTTCCCTGAAAAATTAACTACATGAAGGGGTTTGAAGACTAATACTTTTGAAGAGGTTTGAAATCGAATACTTTTAAAGGTGTTAGGCCAAGACACTATGATCCTGTTTAGCACCCATCAGTACAACAAAAGGTAGTGTGGTACTCAGCACTCAACCTGCAGGCCACCCATGCCTCCTCAATGACCAGGAATACATCCACCAATGTGGATGTTTTGTTTGTGTGTTGTTTTTTGTGGGTTTTTTTTCAGGTGTTTTGAATGCAAGTTGTCTGTTCTTAAATAAAAAAAAAAAAACAAAACCAAAACAGACAAACAAAAAAACCCCAAAACTAAAATGTAATTTGAAAACGAAAGCACCACTTTCTTCCTTTCACTACCCAAATACACTGTGGCAACTTTCTCACTTTTTCTTTCATGGGCTCCAAATCTGTGTAAGAGAAAACGGTTACATTTAGGTCTTTGACTTTTCTTTGCTATGGATAAAAAGGATGTTCTTACCTGTAACCGTTTGGTCGCTTGGCCCAAAGACCTTTCTACAGCTTTAATGCCATTTTCCAACCTCAGGCTCTGCTGGCCCTGAATATCAATTTCACCCTTCACCTTCTCGATCTTTTCCTTGACCTCTTCCTCATTCACCTGGGACTCCTGAACTTCCCGCTGCAGCTTCTCTGCTTCGAGGCCACTCTCCATGCTGTGGATCTGAGACACATAGTCCTTCAGCTTGCTCTCACACTCCAGGATCCTCTGCCTCATCTCCTGCAGCTGCTCCTTCAGCTGCTTCTCGTTCTCCTGCTCGATCTGCAGCTCGTTTTCCCAGAACTCCTCCTCTTCGATCTCCACTTCGTTCCTTTTGATCTTCTGCTCTAGCTTGAGGATCTCCTCCTCCAGGCTGGAGCTGTACTTCTGCTCCCAGAAGCGGATCTCGGCCTCGTTGGACTCGAGCTGCTTCTCGATGCACTGGAGCTTCTCCGTCTGGAGGTGGATCAGCTTCTTCAGCTCATCCGCTGTCGTTTTGCAGTTGTTGAGCACCTTCTGCTTGAACTCGGCTTCCTTGCTTTTCCCGAAGATGTCCATTAGCCCTTTGGCCCCCCCGGTGAAGGTGAGGGACTTCCTTTTGGGCTCCCTCCTCTTCATGGCCTTGTCGCCGGGCGGCCTCAGCTTGGCCAGGGGAGGGAGGCTTTGCCGGTACAGAGTCCTCTCGGGGATGCGGGCCACGCTGTCCGACGTGGGCCTCTCGCTGAGGGACGGCCCGGTGCGGCGCAGGATGAGCTGCACGTCGCTGGCGTACTGCCCCCACTTGTTCAGCGACACGATGGG